CTCTCTCCCCCCCTCCACACTCCCTCTCTCTCCCCCCCTCCACACTCTCTCTCTCTCTCTGTCTCTCTCTCTCTGTCTCTATCCCTCCCCTCCCCTCTCCACCACACACTCTCCGCCCTCCACACTCTCTCCCCCTCCACTCTCTCTCTCTACCTCCACTCCTCTTGGCCAGGCCTTTAACCAGTGTAAGAGAGACGGATTCCTCCTGAAGAGTGTGGATAATGCCCCGCTGGCAAAGCGTCGGAAGCTGAAGATGAGCACAGGGATAGAGACCCGGAGCTCCAGCGACAGCTCAGCGTCGTCCTCATCCTCGTCAGCGGGCGCTACCACCCGCAGCAAGGGCACCCCGGTCCGGGGGCCCAGACATAAGAGGCCCGACACGCTCTCACAACCCTCCTAGGGGGTAGACACTCTCCTCCCTGCCCCCTTTGGTGGTGGGGGCGCGGGGAACAGGCTGCACAGTTTGAACCACAAACCTCCCCCCCACCCCAACCAATCCCGCACCACCACCCTCTCCTCTTCACCCACCCTGCGAATGGCGGACGGGTGCTATTTGACAGTGGGGGCGTCACAAACCCTGACTATCCTCGACTTGTGCACTGAGTAGCTGCCTCTTCACAGGGGCAGGGAGCTGGCGGGGTGGGTCAGAAATAGTGGGATCTTTCTGTGCATCGGGATGGGTAGGAGAAAGGGGGGAAAGGCGGAGGGGGGGGCTAGAGATTTTACAATTCCACAATAATTGCGCCCCCCCACCCCTTTCTCCCTGGGTCACCATGTTTTCTACCCCCATCAGGAAAGGGTTTGATCCCCAGCAGGACAGGGAGAGAAAACCAACAAATGCCCCCCACCCCCAATTCCTTCCCCTCACTACCCTCCTTAATATTTGCCCCTCAGTGGGGTGGGGGTAGGGAAGGTATGGCCCATCTTAGCCATAACGGGACCCCGGGCTACACCGCCCGGCTTAAACCCCACATCCAAAGACCCCGCACTTAGCCACATCACCTTCAGGGGTTGGGGGGGCGGGGAAAGGTGCGGCGAGGGGTTGGGAAACAGACAATTAAGATCAGCCCTGCCCCCTCCATCCCC